AAAAAAAAAAAGAAACTGTCCAGATGACCTGACTGAAAATTGTTGGAAACTATAATTTTACAAGTTTTTTCTAATATTGAGCACCACTATTCTTAAGGCACAATTTGAAAACTTATTCACTCACTAAATCAAAACTGCTACAAGCCATCATCAGGAACAAATAGCAGCTTCACAAATGAATTTATTTTATCCAGTTCTCACAAATCGCAGGATGATTTCAAGCATTTATGCAGGAATTACAAGAACAGAGAACATTTAAATTGTTTATTTGAAGTATTTAAATGTGTACTTTGTATCAGCTGCAGGCTGCATGTGGGTACAGGTCAAACCCTGCTTCTGGTTCTGGTTCCGTGGTCCAAGGGAGGTTGCTCAGGAATCAACACTCCCCAGAAAATGCAGCGCGAGAGAGGAGTCGCGTGCGCAACCTGCGGCAGGCCTTCCACAGTCTGCAGGTACATGCAATGCTGCAGTGTTCTCATTAGTGTTTTGTTCTCTCAGGACTTTACACAGGAACAAGTTTACTTCAGTACAATCTTTTTATTTGTACTTTCTTGTTTCACTATTTCTAGAAATGTGTTCACCCACACTTAAACACATAAAATGCACCAAAACCCTGTAGTAACTGTAGTGCAAACAGAAGAATTTACTCTTTGAATGTTTTATGCTTTGTGGAGTGGCAGAGAAGTGTGTTAGACTGATACAGGACATGCATGAGGACAGCAGGACATTGACATTGGTACAGGACATGACATGTTAGACTGGTGCAGGACATGTAAAAGGACATCAGGACATGTATGAAGACAACGGGATGTGTATGAGGACAGTCGGCCATGTTAGACTGGAACAGGGCATATATGAGGACATCAAAACATGTATGAGGACTGCAGGACATGCTAGACTTGTACAGAACATGTAAGTGGACAGCAGGACATGTTAGACTGGAACAGGACATATATGAGGACTGCAAGACATGTATGAAGACAGCCAGACATGTTTGACTGGTACATATGTATAAGGGCAGTAGGACATGTTAGAATGGTACAGGGCATGTATGAGGACAACAGGACAGTGGTGAGGTGCTGTAGGAGTGACAGATAGCTTCAAGGTGGAGGTGGGAGTGCATCAAGGATCGGCTCTGAGCCCCTTCTTGTTTGCTCTGGTGATGGATCAACTAACAGATGAAGTCAGGCAGGAATCTCCGTGGACTATGATGTTTGCAGATGATATTGTGATCTGTGGTGAGAACAGGGAACAGGTGGAAGAGAACTTGGAGAGGTGGCGGTATGCACTTGAAAGAAGAGGAATGAAAGTCAGCCATAGTAAGACAGAGTCCATGTGTGTGAATGAGAGGGAGGAGGTGGAACAGTGAGGCTACAAGGAGCAGAGGTCACAAAGATGCAGGACTTCAAGGACTTGGGGTCCACTGTCCAGGAAATTGGGGAGTGTGGTAAAGAGGGTGAAGAAGAGAGTCCATACAGGATGGAGTAGATGGAGAAAAGTTTCAGGAGTGATTTTTGACAAATGGTGGCAGCAAAGGTAAAAGAAAAAGTTGATGTTAACAACCTAGCTGGTCTCACCGCTGTCCTATATGGTTTAGAGACAGACATGGACAAAAAGACAGGAGATAGAAATGGAAGCAGCAGAAAATAAGATTTTGTTGTTCTCCTTGGGGATGACAAGGAGAGAGAAGATTAGGAATGAGATAATCAGAGGTACAGCCCAGGTTGAACAAGTGGGAGATAAAGTTAGAGACGACAGACTGAGGTGGTTTGGACATGTCTAGAGAAGGGACAGTTGGTATATTGGTAGAAGGATGTTATAAATGCAGCTGACAGGAAAAATACAAAGAAGATGGACAAGGAGGAGATATGTGGATGCAGTTAGAGAGGACATGGAGGTAGTTCCTTGAAGCTGGCTCCTTGGTTCAGTTCTGAGTTACATACTTTAAAATGGTCATATAGAAGGCTGGAAAGAAAATTGTGCTTCACTAACATGGAAGAATTTTAATTAAATTGGAGAGATAGACTGCTAACATTAAAGAAAGCCCTTTGTAAAACTAGAACTGTATATTATTAAGCATTAATGGATGAGAATAAAAATAACCCTAGGTTTCTGTTCAGTACTATAGCAAAACTGTCCTGATGCATGCTCAATAATCCAGGTAGAAAAATCTAAAAAAGTTAAATCTGGTCCTCTGGACATTCAAAAAAACAAAACAAAGCAAAACAACAAAAAAATGTAGAAACGTTTCGTCTTTCATCCGAAAGACTTCTTCAGTCTGAGGTACTGTATTCAGCTCAGTCTTATGAATAGCACCTTCTCAGAGTGGATCAACCATTTGGTTGTCATCAGCAAAACAGGTTGATCCACTCTGAGATGGATATAAGACTGAGCTGAATACAGCTCCTCAGACTGAAGAAGTCTTTCGGATGAAAGACGAAACGTTTCTACATTTTTTTGTTGTTTTGCTTTGTTTTGTTTTTTTGAATGTCCAGAGGACCAGATTTAACTTTTTTAGATATAGTAAAACTATTGAAAAGTCCTATCTCTATTGAGCCTTGTATCCCTACAACTATAATCATTGATGACTTTACAAAATTCTTTATAAATATAATGATTTCAATGAGAAAGAATATTCAAACCATCCTTCCTACTATTGCCTACGATTCCCTGTCAAATGAGGCAGTTTTAGAAATATCACTTGAAGCTGTTTTATGTTTGGAAACAGTGCTGCACTTGATACATCCATCCATCCATTATCTTTTACCCACTTCTTTCATTTTGGGTCACGGGGGTCGCTGGTGCCCATGTCCAACAATTACTGTGCGAGGGGCGGGGGACACCCTGGACGGGTCGCAAGTCCATCACAGGGCCACATAGAGACAAACAAACATTTACTCTCTCTCTCTCACCTAGGGACAATTTAGAGTTGCGCTTGATACATTTGATCACAATTTTCTACTACAGAATATGTACAGAATACTACAGAATATGATATTGAGATTTCAGGAATGCTCTAAACTTGTTTAAATCATATTTTTTGACAGATTTCACTTTGCAAATTTAAATAATGAATCTTTTCCATACACCAAAGTTAGTCATGGAGTTCTTCAAGGTTTAATGCTTGGACCAATGCTCTTTACTGTATACATGCTTCTATTAGGTAAAGTTGTTAAACAGCATGGGATAAGTTTTCATTGTTATGCTGATGACATACAGTTAAATTTATCCATGAAACCGTATGAATTGTATCATTTACTTAATTACAAGCATGTCTTAAGGGAAATTAGGGAAATATCTCCTTCTAACTCTCATCCAAACTATTGTAGCATCAGTCTGGATGGATGCTTTTTAAAGAGAATTTTGGACACCCAGATAATAAAGACTTACAATATTTCAGGCTAAAAGAGAGAAATGAATTGACAAGATTTTCTGCATCATTTTATGATGAGATGTTTCTAAATTTACTATTATTTTTTATGTGGATGAAAGTGGTCCTGGTAACATTGTTGATGTGTTTAAGTGACATATCCTGATCAAAACTAACACCAAGGTTCTTAACATTAGAACTGGAGACCAAATTAATGCCACCTAGAGAAAGTGAGAAACAGCTAGGTTTGTTTCTAAGATATTCAGGTCCAAAATCGACAACCTCTGTCTTGTGTGAGTTTAAAATCAGAAAATTAAGGGTCAGTAATTTTTAATGTCTCTAAGACAAGCTTGTAATGTAACTGATTACATTCATCAGGTTTCATGGATAAGTATCATCAGCTAATGTTTATCCTGTGCTGTCTAATAAATTTACCGGTACTTAACTTTACCTGTGATAAAATATTGTGATTCACCAGTGCTCTTTCTGTGATATGATGAGCTCTAAACCCTGACTGAGTTTCCTCAGCTTGCTTCTGTTCAGACATTCACACAATTAATTTGCAACTATTTTCTTAAGTGTTTTGTTATGTTGAATTGATTGGATAAAGGTTTATACTTTGTAAATGGCCAAAGCTCCTAAATCAAATTCAGGTTTCTTAAGTAAATCAACCTTAAAGCCTTAAAGCCTTAACATAACCATTAAATAAATACAGGTTAAGCAGATCCAAACTGGGGAGACTGATTAATGGAAACACCCTTATGAATAATCTGGTTGGGATCAGATCTAGCAAACATGCTATGGGCATGGGTTGAAGTCAATATTTTTGACAATTCAGAGAGCTTAACAGGACAAAAATTGTCCAAACATAAATTAGCTTTTAGTGACACTTCTAAAACTGTTTCATTTGATAGATAATCAGAGGCAGTAGTAAGAAAAATGGCATGAATTTCCTCCTCCTCCTCCTCCTCTTCCTCCTTTTCCTTCTTCTTCTTTCGGCGTTTCCCTCTTCAGGGTTTCCACAGTAAGTCATCCTCCTCCATCTCATTCTGTCCTCTGTCCTCACTCCAACTACCTCCATGTCCTCTCTAACTGCATCCATATATCTCCCCTTTGCCTTTTTCATGGCAGCTGCATCTCTAACATCCTTCTACCAATAAACCCACTGTCCCTCCTCTGGACATGTCCAAATCACTGTCCCTCCTCTGAACATGTCCAAACCACTGTCCCTCCTCTGGACATGTCCAAACCACTGTCCCTCCTCTGAACATGTCCAAACCACTGTCCCTCCTCTGGACATGTCCAAACCATCTCAGTGTGTCCTCACTAACTTTATCTCCCAGTTGTTCAACCTGTGCTGTACCTCTGAAGATCTCATTCCTAATCTTATTTATCCTTGTCACTCTTAAGGAGAACCTCACCATCTTCATTTCTGCCACTTCCAGTTCTTTCTCCTGTCTCCAGACATAGCTGGTCTCACTACTCTGTATGTATGTGTATGTATCCTTTATTTAACCAGGAAAAATAACTCATTGACATAAAAAACCTCTTTTCCAAGAATGACCTGGCCAAGACAGCACCATAAAACATACAACAAATCCACAATACAAGACCAAATACACAACATACATACCCAAAAGAAATCACATAATTACAAATTACTGCAGTTACAAGAGCCAAGTGATCTGATCTCTCCTTCCTTTAGAATTGATTTAAATTGCCCCAAGGTAACAAGAGATGATAAGTTCAAATTCTTCTGCAGAATATTTTCAGGGGCTAAAGATTTAAAAGCCTTTTTATTCAGTTCAGTTCTGACATTTGGGACCTGCATCAAAATGATGTCCTGAGAGTGCAGGCTATAATGGCTGAAAGTTCTAGATAAAAGTGAACATAAATATGTAGGAAGATGTCCAAGGATGCATTTATAGATAAAAACTAGCAAGTGAGAAAGTCTGTGGTCAGTCAAAGAGGGACAATTTGCTGTAGCATACAAAGTGCAGTGATGTGTTCGATAGCCACAGTCAGTCATAAAACGCAGGGCACGATGATATACAGCATCCAGTTCTTTGAAAAGCTGGGCTGAGGAGTTCATAAATAGCAGATCTCCATAATCTACCAGGGGCAGAATGGTTGAAACAATCAGGTGCCTTCTGACTTGATGTGAGAAACACTATTTGTTTCTAAAAAATAATCCCAATTTAAGATGTAGTTTAGAAACCAGTTTGTCAATATGATAATTAAATGATAGAGTCTCATCAATCAGAATACCTAAATATTTATAGCAACTGACAACTTCAATTTCAGCTCCTTGAACAGTTAACAAGCTGGGAAGGATAGGTGGAAGCTGCTTACTATTTGAAAATAGCATAGCCTTTGATTTTTCTCAATTCAAAACCAGTTTAAGCCCAGCCAGACGGAACTGAACGCAAACGCAGATTGCAGCAGTTTCAATGATTGTGAAACGGAAGGTGATGAACAATAAATAACCATATTATCAGCATAAAGATGAGCTTTAGCATCAGGCAAGTTATCACACAGATTGTTTACATAAATTGTGAACAACAAAGAACCTAGTAAGGAGCCTTGGGGCATTCCCTTTAAAACAGGAAGGGGGGAGGAACAAAACCCAGCCACTTGGACACATTGAGTTATATCAGATAAATAGTTGGAGAACCAGTTAACAGCCTGAACAGATAACCCACATTTGTAGAGTCAATTCATCAAGATGATATGATCTACCGTGTCAAATGATTTAGATAGGTCAACAAAAAGAGTTGCACAATATTTTCGGCCATTTAGGGCATCTATATACTCTCTTGTAAACCTTCCCTTTGACCTTTGCTGGTACCATTTTGTCACACATCACTCTTGAAACCTTTCTCCATCCACTCCATCATGCCTGGACTCTCTTTTTCACCTCTTTGCCACACTCCTCATTTTCCTGGACAGTGGACCCCAAATACTTGAAGTCCTACATCTTTGTGACCTCTGCTCCTTGTAGCCTCACTGTTCCACCTGTCTCCCTTTCATTCACACACAAATACTGTGTCTTACTACAGCTGACTTTCATTCCTCTTTTTTCAAGTGCATACCTCCACCTCTCTAAGTTCTCTTCCACCTGTCCCCTGTTTTCACCACATATCACAATGTCATCTGCAAACATCATAACCCACGGGGATTCCTGCCTAACCTCGTCTGTTACCTGGTCCATCACCAGAGCAAACAAGAAGGGGCTCAGAACTGATCCTTAATGCAACCCCACCTCCACCTTGAAGCTATCTGTCACTTCTACAGCACATCTCACCACTGTCCTGCTGTCCTCATACATGTCCTGTACCAGTCTAACATACTTTTCTGTCACTCCAGATTTCCTCATGCAAGACCACACTTCCTCCCTCGGCACTCTGTCATATGCTTTTTCTAAATCCACAAAGACAGAATGTAGTTCTTTCTAACCCTCTCTGTACTTCTCCATCAGCATCCTCAAAGCAATGATGGTGCCTGTGGTGCTCTTTCTTGGCATGAAACCATACTGATGCTCACAGATAGTCACCTCTCGTCTAAGTCTAGCTTCCACAACTCTCTCCAGATCTTCATTGTGTGCCTCATCAACTTAATTCCCCTGTAGTTTTTATTAACCTTTATTTAACCAGGCAAATCCAACTGAGATCACAGATCTCTTTTGCAAGGGAGGCATGGGCCTGAAAGCGGCTTACAATGCATGTTTTTGGTTTGCGGGAGGAAACCGGAGCACCCAGAGAAAATCCATGCAAGCGCGAGAAGAACATGCAAACTCCACACAGAACAACCGCAGGCCCAACCAGGGATTGAACCCAGGACCTTCTTGCTGTGAGGCAACAGTGCTAACCACTGAGCCGTTGTGCTGCTAACTTGTAGTTGCTACAACTCTGTACATCACCCTTGTTCTTAAAAATGGGCAACAGCACACTTCTTCTCCATTCCTCAAGTTTTTCCTCACCCTCAAATATGCCATTGAATATTTGAGTTAACAATCTCACTGCATCTCTCCAAGACATTTCTAAACCTCCACTGTATGTCATCAGGTTCTACTGCCTTTCCCTTCTTCATTCTTTTCAGAATTTTCTGAATTTCACCCTCACTAATATTTCCTACTCCCTGGTCCACAGTTTGTATGTCTACTTCTCTTCTTTCCTTTTCATTCTCTTCATTCATTAGCTCCTCAAAGTACTCCTTCCATCTTCCTGTCACACTCTCCTCACTTGTTAGAACATTACCATTCCTATCTTTAACAAGCCTAACCTGCTGCACATCCTTTCCAGCCTGATCCTTCTGTCTCGCCAATCAGTACAAGTCCTTCTCGCCCTCTTTAGTGTCCAGCCTCCCACACAACTCATGATACGCCTTCTGCTTTGCCTTTGCCACCTCCCTCTTTGCTCTGCGACTTATCTCCTTATATTCCTGTCTCCTCTCTTCAGTCCTCTCACTGTCATATTTCTTCTTGGCTAACATCTTTCTTTGAATAGCTTCCTTCATTTCACTATTCCACCACTAGGTTTGGCATAAATTTCCTAACTGTAGTAGTTTTATTTATAAAGAATCTCATGAAGTTATCACTACAAAGAATTATAGGGATTTATGACTAAACAAAGATAGAACTTTTCATTAGTCTAACTACAGTACTATACAAAAACCTGGGATAGTTCTTGTTCTAAACTGGAAATGTTTGTTATATGTGATATTAAAGAGTGAATTTTCCTGCAGGCAGCTTTACCTTCAGTTCCACCTGACACCAAGCTCTCCAAGCTGGATGTACTGGTTCTGGCCACCAACTACATAGCATACCTGACAGAGACGCTGGATCAGGGTGGGACCGTGGCTGAGCACACTCTGTCCCCCCGGCCAGGTGGATACCTGCATCCTGTTAAGGTCAGGAACTAACAGCTCAGACAACATTGAGTATATGGTGCTATCTGACAGTAGACTGACATCCGAAGACAATATGCAGAACAGCAGAGTCAGTAAATCTAGATCCGCTTTTCTTTAAACACTCTGTCTGTGTTTACTGATAAGGAGACACTTGGTATGTTTTTCCTGATACTAAAATTATTTGAGTATTTTTCAGTGTCTGAACAACATTTGTCAGGTGAACGTGGAAGTTTTATCTGTTGTTGGTGGCATCTGTAGGATGTCCTCCATCCGATCTCAGTGTCTCTACCTTAGGTTCTTGACCCTCTACTGTCGTGTCAGTCCACCCAAGTGAGATTTAGACTACATTCTGCCCTGATGGGACTTCAGTAAGGTATATTTGCCACAAGCTTGCTATTCAGGTTTTGTTTCAGTTTTTTTTCTTCAGGGTTTTGCACCTAACTGTCCCACTGGGTTTAGTAATCATTTCAGAAGGCATAGCATTCCTGCCATAATGTGTTCACTCACCCAGGCTGGGGTTCTATCATGGGCCTTGGGGTGTAAAACCTCTCTTGGCATTGTATGAGCAGCAGCAATTGTCATGGTCATACGGCCCCTGTTTTTGTCATCTGCTCATGGCAGCCAGTGAACTTTATTGGAACCTGCCAGTAGAGTTTGTGCAAAGTTTTGTGATTCTTTGTCGACTCTTAGTCAGCTTAGAGACTTACACACTGATCTATGCAGTCAGTCTCATTGCTGGTTTGAGCTCAATGTGTACGAGGCCCCTCTTGGCTTAGATTGTTCTTTCATGTTGTGGACTTTCCCTTCTACCTTTCAGGCTTGGTTTGAAGCTCTGGAGGTCAAGTTCTGGGGTATTGGTAAGCATTTCACATTTGTGAACTGCTGTCTGCATCAAGCTTGTGAGCTGCACTGTCTTGGAGTAACCCATGTACAAACCGGATTCCAAAAAAGTTGAGACACTAAACAAATTGTGAATAAAAACTGAATGCAATGATGTGGAGATGGCAAATGTCAATATTTTATTCGTAATATAACATAGATGACAGATCAAAAGTTTAATCTGAGTAAATGTAACATTTTAAAGGAAAAAAATGTCGATTCAAAATTTCACGTCAACAAATCCCAAAAAAGTTGGGACAAGTAGCAATAAGTGGCTGGAAAAAGGAAATTGAGCATATAACAAACATCTGGAAGACCAATTAACACTAATTAGGTCAATTGACAACATTATTGGGTATAAAAAGAGCTTCTCAGAGTGTCAGTGTCTCTCAGAAGCCAAGATGGTAAGATTATCACCAATTCCACCATTGTTGCACAGAAAGATAGTGCAGCAATACCAGAATGGTGTTACCCAGCGTAAAATAGCAAAGACTTTTAAGTTATCATCATCATCAACCGTGCATAACATCATCAAAAGATTCAGAGAATCTGGAACAATCGCTGTGCGTAAGGGTCAAGGCCGTAAAACTCTACTGGATGCTCGTGATCTCCGGGCCCTTAAACGTCACTGCACCTCAAACAGGAATGCCACTGTCAACGAAATAACAGAATGGGCTCAGGAATACTTCCAGAAAGCATTGTCAGTGAACACAATCCACCGTGCCATCTGCTGTTGCCAGCTGAAACTCTACAGTGCAAAGAGGAAGCCATTTCTAAGCAAGCTCCACAAGCTCAGACGTTTGCACTGGACCAGGGGTCATTTAAAATGGAGTGTGGCAAAATGGAAGACTGTTCTGTGGTCAGATGAGTCACGATTTGAAGTTCTTTATGGAACACTGGGACACCATGTCATCCAGACCAGAGAGGACAAGGATAGCCCAAGTTGTTATCAACGCTCCGTTCAGAAGCCTGCATCACTGATGGTATGGGGTTGCATGAGCGCTTGTGGCATGGGCAGCTTGCATGTCTGGAAAGGCACCATTAATGCAGAGAACTATGTTCAGGTTCTAGAACAACATATGCTCCCATCTAGACGTCATCTCTTTCAGGGAAGACCCTGCATTTTTCAACACAATAATGCCAGACCACATTCTGCAGCAATCACAACATCATGGCTACGTAGGAGAAGGATCCGGGTACTGAAATGGCCAGCCTGCAGTCCAGATCTTTCACCTATAGAGAACATTTGGAGCATCATAAAGAGGAAGGTGTGACAAAGAAGGCCCAAGACGATTGAACAGTTAGAGGCCTGTATTAGACATGAATGGGAGAGCATTCCTATTTCTAAACTTGAGAAACTGGTCTCCTCTGTCCCCAGACGTCTGTTGAGTGTTGTAAGAAGAAGGGGGGATGCCACACAGTGGTAAAAATGGACTTGTCCCAACTTTTTTGGGATTTGTTGTTTCCAAATTTCATGGCATCAACAAATCCCAAAAAAGTTGGGACAAGTCCATTTTTACCACTGTGT